CCCAGGACCCCGGGACCATGACCTGAGCCGAAGGCAGACGCTTAACGCCTGAGTCACCCAGGCGCCCCTATTATTATTATTTTAAAGCAAGCCCTACGTCATGGGGCTTGAACTCAGGACCCTGAGATCAAGATGTACGTGCTCTATGGACTGAGCCAGCCCTATAAATAAAATCTTAAAAAAAAAACCAAAAATGAAAAGGACAGGTGGATCTCTGAGCCCATGAGCTATGGAAGCTTCCTTAGGTAGGGGAGGTTTCAGTCAGACTTGGGGAGAAAAGCAGATTTGGGAGCTTGAGGGGAAGGTGGGGTCCGAGCCCTGGCATAGCCACTGGGCAACGGACAGAACATACTGTCGAGGGACCGTCATTCCTACTATCCAGGTCAGGCTGCTTGGCCTCAAAGAGCCCACCTTCAGCGACCTCTCCAGCTCTGCAGCTGATGAACAGCATCTTAAGGTGCTGGGTTTCTGTCTCTGGAGCTGTCAGCTGTGACTGTGACCCCAAATCAGATTAACAGCCTCCTCCCAACATGCACACTCTGGATCAGAGTCTGCTGAGACCAGCCATTTGGAAAAACCCATCTGCTGCCTAATGCACTCATTCAGGTTCAGGGACCAGCTTGGAAGAGAGAGGAGGCAGCACGAGGGGAAGGAGGATCTACAGCAGGGTCCTGACAGGTCAGAAATACCCAGGTTAAAAAAAAAAAATTAAAGGGCGCCTGGGTGGCTCAGACGGTTAGGCGTCTGCCTTCAGCTCAGGTCATGATCCGTAGGTCCTGGGATCGAGTCCCGCATCGGGCTCCCTGCTCAGCGGGGAGTCTGCTTCTCCCTCTGCCTCTCCCCCTGCTCATGCTCTCTCTCTCTCTGTATCTCTCTGTCTCAAATGAATAAATAAAATCTTTTAAAAAAAAAAGCCCCCTCCTCCAGATGTCAAAGATGCAGCTGTGGAGATTGGCTTCCCCAGAACCCTGCCTCCAGCTGGGACAACTACCCAAGACAAGCTACAGAATCTGCAGGGCCCGGTGCAAAATGAAAATGCAGGGCCCCCTGTTCAAAAATTTCAACATAGGTTGCAAGTGTGTGGGAAGACAGCCCTGCCTCTGTCCTCCTCTCGTCCTTGGGTCCTTACACCAGGATTAAGGATTAAGCCTGCTCTGGGTCCCCACAGCCCCTTTGCCCATCTCCACTCAGTCTCATCCTTACTTATTTCCTTGTCTGTCTCCCCAGCGGACGGCGCTTTCCCCGAAGGCTTGGCTGCCGTGGGTTTTCCCTGATTGCCTCACACAAGACCTGAGACGGAACAGGACAGCCCTATTTGCTCAATTAATCACAAAGGAGAAAAAGTTTACTTTAAAAATCATGGCTCTCCAGGCCCACCAGGATGACTGTAATTTAAAATTATAAATAAAGAAAAACAGCAAATAACAAGCATTTGGTGAGGATGTGCAGAAATTGGAACCCTAATACTTTAGAACGTAAAATGGGGCAGCCACTATGGAGACAGTTTGGTGGCTCCTCAAAATGCGAAACGGGGAGTGCCCGTATGACTCAGCATTCTGGTCCTAGGTGTCTACCCAAGAGATAGGAAAACTTAGATCCGGAGAAAGACATGAATGTTCTCGGCAGCACTATTCATAACAGCCGAAAGGTGGAAACAACCCAAGTGTCCATCAAGGGTTGAAGGGATAAACAAAATGTGGTCCATCCACACGATGGAGAACGATTCAGCCTTGAAGAAGAAGGAAGCGCGGACACCTGCTACAACCCGGATGAGCCTTGCAAACATGATGCCGAGTGAAAGAAGCCAGACACAAAAGGCCACATAGTGCATGGTTCCACTGATAGATGTCCAGAGGAGGTGAATCTACGGAGATAGATAGCGGACTGGTGGGTGCCAGGGCCTGGGGAGGGGGCAGCGGGGAGGGGCTGTTAATGGGATGGGTTTTTTGGAGGGAAAGGATGAAAATGTTCTGGAACTAGAAGATGCTGATTGTTGTCCCACACTGGGAATGTACTAAATGTCATTAATGGCAAATTTTATGTTGTATATTTTATTACAGTAAAAACCCCCAAAAATCTTTAAATGCAATATGGTGCCCTGAATTGGATCCTTGAACAACAACAACAACAACAACAAAACCACATTATTGGAGAATCGGTGAAATAGAAAAAAAAGCTTGGAGTTTCGTGGACAGTGAGAGACCAGTGTTGTTTTCTTGGTTATGATAAGTGCTCCACAATTCCATGAGATAGGAAGAGGAGGGAAACTGGCTGAGGGACTCTTTCTGTTCACTGCAACTTTTCTGTTATACTAAAATTATCCTGGGGCACCTGGGTGGCTCAGTTGGTTAAGCATCTGCCCTTCGGCTCAGGTCATGATCCCAGGGTCCTGGGATCGAGCCCCATATCGGGCTCCCTGCTCAGCGGGGAGTTTGCTTCTCCCTCTGCTGCTCCCCCTGCTTGTGTTCCCTCTGATAAATAAATAAAAAATCTTAAAAAAAATAAAGATAAAAAATCATATCTGCCTTCTAAAAAGCAACAAGCTTGGTCTCTGGAAGGTTCTTTTGTCTGTGTAGGGTCTGCTTTTGGGTTCAGTTTTGCCAACTGGGGAGCTGTAGCTGCCACTGGCGTGGAAAAGTGGGGAGAATCTGAGAGCCCAGCCTGGGGTTGTTGGGGGGTGGGGGGTGAGGCAAAGAGACGGGCAGCAGGGAGGGGGTGAGAGAGGAGCCTGGGCTGGAATGGGGCTGGGCTGTGGCCCCCCGTCCGCCCCGCAAGAGGGGAAAACTCCCTGATGGGGAAGCTCCAAAGACTTTGGAGGAAAAGGACGTTCAGCATAGAGGTTGCAAACTGGTGACCCACAGGCTGCAGACTGCCTCCAGATATGTTTATTGGCCCTGGGTTTTGTAAAACTAATTTGAGCCAATCTATAAGAAGCTGTCAATCTCACACTAAAACTGGAATTTCCAGCTTCTCTGAAAATCTCTGCAGATCTGCTAACTCAAGGCCACCTTCCTGCACGTCCTCAAGGGGCTGCAGCCCAGTCCCAGCCACCCCTGCCTCACAGGTCTGAGGTCTTGGTTGCCACTCATCCTCAGGCTTGCACCGTGTTCTCTTTTTAATGGGACAGAAAGATTTCTCTGCACCATCGCAAAAATGGAAAAGCAGAAAAGAAACCAAGAGCGTTGTCTGACTTTTCTTACACCTGGCTGATTGCACACCCTTCTGAGCCCTACCTGGTTCCTGGAGGCACTTCTGTTTGAGAACTCAAGTCCAACATTCGATCTGTAGTCTTCACTGCAAGGCCAATAGAATGTCCCAGCCTGTGCCCTTGGAGCTCCACTCTCAGGTGTCCTGTGGTCAGGGTCAGACACACACACACACACACACACACACACACACACACACACACACACACACACACACACACAGGGTCAGACACACACACACACACACACACACACACTACCCCTTACTAGCTGGTGGTCTTGAACCAGCAGCTTAACCTCCCTGGGACTCCATTCCCTCAAGCCCCTGAGGTGAAGCAGGAGACTCAGCTGATCGCAGCGTGGGTCAGCTTATTTGGCAGGAAAATGGGTACGTGGCTGACACTGAGCTGACGTATGCCGTATGGCTGTACCAGCAGTTACGGTACTGAAATATTTCTCCACTGGTTGGTAAATAGCCACTGTCCCTCGGCCCCCTCCCAGGACCCCAGACTTCCTCCCAGCCCAGCAAGTAAGAATAACTGCCACAGAAGTCTTCCTGAATCCAGTCTCCCCCCTCCCTTCTGATGGAGCTATGAGATAAGACTTCCTGGCTCCGTGGGGTGGAGTGGATGTGGGGTGCCCGGTCCCTGATGGAAAAGCAGGTGGCATTTGCTGGATCTCAGCTGCCCCAGGAGGCACAGAAGTCCCCCAGATTTCAAGGAGACAGGACTCCATGACCCTGCACAAGCCCCATGGAGACAGACAGACCTAAATAATTCGTCGGGGCTGGAGATTGTGGGGATGTGAAGAGCACAGAAGGGGGGCTCCCAGACCCTGGGGCGGGGAGGCCCTATACCACCCCAAATCTCTCAGGCTAGGTCTGATGGAAAAACTTAACCAGGTGATGGGGCCCAGGGCCCAGGAAAAGGTCAGAGGTCAGGGGTCAGAGGTAGTACACTTTATTGACCGGGTTCTTCCAACATCTTGCAATGCCCCTCCCACCCCACCCCCCTGCAAAGCCAGAGCCTGAGCTTTGCCGCTGTCCCGTCCACCAGACAGGGAAGAGAATGTGTCTCTCAAACATCCAACATCTGAAGGGCTTCCGGGCCTCCGAAGAGCAGAGAGGCAGGGGTGGATGTTGGGGCGGGGGGGCGCTGCCGGCTGGAGGGGGTTGATGGGAGCAGGGGATGAAGGTGGGCCTGAGGGACTCAAGCTGGGTGCAGGGCTGGGGACACCCTGAGGCTCTGCCAGGCCTGGCCAGCCCCTCACTCCCCCAGTTAAGGTTAGTAGTGGTTCACAGTGAGACTGGCTTAGATTTGGCAGGGCGGCAGGGACCACGGGCAGACAGGCGCTTTCCACTCTCCCCGGTGACCCTTGGCCTGACTCACGAAGCTGGGAAGAGAGAGGAAGTCCCCTCCTCTGTGTCCCCCTTCTGGGACAGGAAAACCCCTTCTCTTGAGGGGCAAAGGGTAGAGGCCTAGTTCTCCTCTGGCATCCCCCAGGCTATTAGGAAGGATCGTTTACTCCTGGCTCAGAAGTTTCTAGAGCATCTCAGTGACCTTGCCCATCATTACTCCCAATTAAAAAAAAAAAAAGTTTTTGAAATCTGGGAGTTGACTGGGGCCCATCAAACCAAGCAGTAAAAAACCTGGTAAGATCTTGCTTTAAAAAGGTAGCTCTACCTTCTCTTAGAAGCCCTGGGAGACCAGATGGAGAGACCAGTGGTGTCTCCACTGCCCGACTGGAGGAGGCGGTTCGTGGCAGCAGGGAAGGGGGGCGGGGGGGCTGGTGGTGGCCCGGAGGACGGGGCAGGAAGCAGGGGCACGATGCAGGAAGCAGTGACACGTGGGACATGGCAGGTTGCCCTCCAGCGCTGTGGGCCTGGGCTCAGAGGGCAGCGGGTGTGGGGGGGGCCCCCCATGGGTACATCTGCCAGGCGGGCGCCGGGGCCTCGGCCCCACCGTGAGGAGCCGGGCCCGCGGTCAGGCCTTGTGACCGCCACTGGCCGGCGGCTCCTTGTGGCTGTCTGAGTAGTCCGAGGCAGGCTCGAGCCCCAGCATCTGCCGCTGCACCAGCTTGGCGTAGAGGCCGCCCTGGGCCAGAAGCTGCTGGTGCGTGCCCTGCTGCACCACGCGGCCCTTGTCCAGCACCACGATGAGGTGCGCACGCTCCACCGTGCTCAGGCGGTGCGCGATGATGAGCACTGTGTGCTTCTGCAGGTTGCCGTGGATGGCCTGCTGGATCTGGGGAGACACGAGGGCGCCGGCTCGTGGGGGCCCTGCCCCCAGCCACCCGCCACCGCGCCTGGGCCTGGCTCGGCTCCCACACCCACCACATCGCAGCGATGCTTTCACCTCTCTGAGCCTCAGTTCCTCATTCAGGGCTCGCACACGATAGGCTTCCTGGGGTTTTGTTCACAGGGGACGGAGCTCAGGGCCCGGCACAGGGGAGGTGCATGGCGAGTGACAGGTGAACCCTAACGGGCTAACCTGGTCACCTCTGCTCTTCCTGCTCCTTCCGGCTCGCTAACCTTCGCCGTGCCTCAGGGTCTCACTGTCAGTCCCAAAGCTCAAGCCGACGAGGCCATGGCCCTCAACTCCTTCGCTCATTGTCCAAATCCAACTCATGCACGAATCCTGCAGGTGCATCTCTCCCCAGTTCATCTGGTTCTTCCCATCCTCCCACCGCTACCTGTTACTTCTCATCCGAATGCCTGCAACCTGCCAGCCCCGCCCCCTCCCACTGCCTGCGCGGATTTAACATTTCAATCGGTTCTTGTTGAATTCCTGCTCTGAGCCACCCCCCCTCCACAGCTTCGTGTCCCAAACAAGAATAAAATCCAGACTCCACCTGCCATTCTGCACTTGTCATAGACAAGAGTGCACAACACAAAGAGTGACCCCTGATATAAACCAGGGACTTCAGTTAGTAACAATGTATTAAAACTGGCTCATCAATTGTAACGGATGCACCAGGGCAAGATGTTAATAACAGGAGAAACTGTGGGGTGAAAAGGAGATAACATGGGAACTCGCTGCAATTTTTGCTCAATTTTCTTTAAAACTGAAACTTTTCTTCAAAAAAAAAAAAAAATTCCAGGGCGCCTGGGTGGCTCAGTTGGTTAAGCGACTGCCTTCGGCTCAGGCCATGATCCTGGAGTCCCAGGATCGAGTCCCACATCAGGCTCCCTGCTCAGCGGGGAGTCTGCTTCTCCCTCTGACCCTCCTCCCTCTCATGCTGTCTCTCATTCTCTCTCTCAAATAAATAAATAAAATCTTTAAAAAAAAATTCCATTAATTAAAAACAAACAAACCCAAACTATAACTAGGGCATGAGGAGGCTGTCTATGACTCCGTCCTCAACTTAGACGCCCACCAGTCTGACACGCTGACCTTTGGGCTTGCCTGTGAATTTGCTCTGGGCCTTTGCACCTGCTGCCCTCTCCTCCTTGGATGCTCAGCTGGCTCCTCTCCTCTTGGGTCTCAGCTCAAATGGCACCTGAAGACCCCGCTTCCATCGGGGAGACGGGCACACTCCAGCAGGGCTCTGGCAGTGTAAGGCCGTGTCTCGGGGATGACCCAGCCCCCCTAAATGCTCAGTGCTGCCAGGAGAATTGACTGTTCTAGCCAACACTTGACGGTAGGTCCCCGACCTCCCTTTCTTAGAGCGTTTAGTAGAAAGGGCTTATAATTGTAAATCCTTTCTCTGTCCCTTCGATATATATATGTGAATCTCCTACAAGTCAGGAGTGTCTTCCTCAAGGAGCTGAAGGCCATTTTTGAAATGTAATCATCAGGGAGGACAGGCCTGGGTCTCGAGGCTCTACAGGAGGGCAGAATTCCGGCCCACAGCTGGCAGCCAGCAGACACCGCTCCTAATCACACCCACACTGACCAACCACCGGCTTTCCCGTGAGCCCGCTCCCTATGCCTTCATTCTCCTTTAACGCCTGTCACCACTGTCCCCTCTGCACGAAGCAGAAGGGAGTCCCGCTCTTTCCCCTACTGTCACTCGCTACTGAATAACATCTGTTTTTCCAGCGTCAGTGTCTGGCTGTGTTCCTCTCTGACAGGGGTGACCCGTCTCAATCTCTCTCTCAAACGACGGTTTCGTTTTCCACGTGCCGTAGGCCACAGGTTGAACTCAGGCTTGTCTCCTTGTTTGTGGCGTGTCTCCCCCTGGACTGGAAACACTGCGCGGGCAGGCCTTTGCCTGGTCAGCCCCCACTGCAGCCTGGCGGCCGGGAGGAGCTCAGTGAATACCTGTGTAATCAATGACTCGACCCACGGAGGGGCCAAGGTGGCTAGTCAGTGACAAATACACCATTGGACGCTCTTTACCTTGAAAGGGGGGCTCAGGGAGCAGACAACCCTGACTCCCACGATGAGCGGAGGGCAGGGCCTCGACTCCAAACCCGCATCACATAGTTTCAGCTCTGCCAAGAGCCGGCTGGCTAGACCTTCAGCCCTGGGTCCCCTCCCCCTGGCTCCCCGCCTTCAGCCCTGAACACCGCCGTCTGGAAGCTGATGGCCTGGGAGAGCCCCCATGGCGTCTCCAAGCCCTTCCTGGCGCCTGCCCCAAACTCCGGCGTCACCCCACCAGCCCGCAACTCACCAGGTACTCGCTCTCTGCGTCCAGAGCACTGGTGGCTTCGTCCAAGATGAGGACGGGTGGGTTCCGCACCAGAGCCCGAGCCATGGCCACCCGCTGTTTCTGTCCGCCCGACAGCTGGGCACCCTTCTCCCCAGTCTCTGCGTGACAAAGGGGCCGGGGCAAGTGAGCGGAGGGTGGGGCCGGGGCAGACTTGGGGTAGAGAGAGGCCGGGGCAGACTTGGGGTAGAGACAGGCCGGGGCAGACTTGGGGGAGAGAGAAGGCCCCCTCCCCTTCCTCTCCCTGTTGCCACAGGAGCTGTGCTCTTCAGGAAAAGGTGTGGTTCAAAGGGCCACCGGACAACCAATGGCTCCCAAACTCACAAAAGGATGCTCTCCTTCCCTGTTCATGCAAACCATAACTACATTCAATTGGTACCAAGACACCAATTTTTACCTATTAATTTGGCAAAAATCCCAATGTCTGATAATACACCGTCCTGGCGTGGCTGTGGGGCGACAGGCACTCCCCCACCTTCCTGGGGCAAGCACGGGGGCGGGGGGTGATCCCTCTGGCCGCAGAGCATATACCTCTGTGTCTATCATTTTGTGCTGTGCAAGTCTACGGATCACAAGTACAAGTGCACAACCCTGGCACCAGCATCCCCACCTCTGTGAATTGTCCCTACAATTGACTTTCCCATGTACAGTGGCAAAGGCACGTGTTATGCACGACTCACAGTACTAATACTGCAAATCAAAACAAAAGATCAACTCGAACGTCCATCAGCAGGAAACTGAATTAATTATTTAAACAAATTATCATAAAACCCAATACCCTGGAATACTATGCAACTGTTTCAAAAAGGATCAAGGGAGCTCTTTAAGTGACAGTGTGGAATGATGACTAAGATACTGTGTTAAGTTAAAAAAAAAAAAAAGCTAGGTGCAGAATATAGGGTGCTGTTTTTTTTCTGTAAAAGGTCAGGAGGAAATAAAAATATACATTCCTATTTGCATGAAGAAGCTCCCAAAGGACATGTAAGAAGCTAACAAAAGAAGTTTTGGTGGCCCAGGAGGAAACAGGGGTAGAGAAAGGGATGGAGTAAAACCCCTCACTGTATATCATTTCATATGTATTTTTAGTTTTGAACCATGCGAACAGCCCCTTCACAAAAGTTAAAATTTTAAAGTATGTTAAATATAACAAAATATATAACATAAATCAATATATTGTTAAATTTATTATATTATTGATTTAATATAAAATTAAGCAACTATAATTAATCTGAGATATATATATATAATTTAAAAATAATAATATTTTGGGGTGCCTGGGTGGCTCAGTCAGTTAAACAACCAACTCTTGATTTTGGCTCAAGTCACCATCTCAGGGTCGTGGGATCGAGCCCCTTGTTGGGCTCTGCCCTGGGCTTGCTGGGTGGAAACTGCTTAAGATTCTCTCTCTCTCTGGGGCACCTGGGTGGTTCAGTTGGTTAAGCACCTGCCTTCGGCTCAGATCATGATCCCAGGGTCCTGGGATCGAGTCCCGCATCAGGCTCCCTGCTCAGCGGGGAGCCTGCTTCTCCCTCTCCCTCTGCCCCTCCCCCCCTCTGCTCATGCCTTCTCTCTCTCTAAAAAAATAATAGATAATAATAATGTTTTAAGGGCGCCTGGGTGGCTCAGTCGGTTAAGTGACTGCCTTCGGCTCAGGTCATGATCCTGGAGTCCCGGGATCGAGTCCCGCGTCGGGCTCCCCGCTCAGCGGGGAGTCTGCTTCTCCCTCCGACCCTCCCCCCCTCTCATGTGCTCTCTCTCTCTCTCATTCTCGCTCTCTCAAATAAATAAATAAAAATCTTAAAAAAAATAATGTTTTAAAACTAAATAGAGGTGGTTGGTTGCATAGTACTGTAAAGGTACTAAATGTCAAGTGAGTTTCACCTGAAATAGTAAACAGCAACTGGCAGAGAGTAATGCTTAACTCAGAGGGTCACATCCCTGAGGGTGGACCTTCAGGCAGGGTGGAGGTGATGCTCCTGGGCTGTGTACCTGTATTGTAGCCGTCCTGGAGCTCCATGATGAAGCCGTGGGCGTTTGCCTTCTGTGCAGCCTCCACCACCATCTCGAAGGGCACGGTGGGCAGGCCGTAGGAGATGTTGTCTGTGATGGAGCGGGCGAACAGCACCGGCTCCTGGCTCACCAGGGAGATCTGTGTAGGAGAAAGGATGGGGCATGACAGGCCGGGCACGCATCCATCCAGCTGTCATCGGGAACCTTGCCAGCCCCAGGCCTGCCTGACGCCAGGGGTCTTGGGTCTGAAATCTGAGCAGGCCCTGCGCCTGGCTGCTATAGCATCAGCTGCCTCTCTCCTTCAAAAACAACAGAGTCCACAATCTGCACAAGCCCTCAGCTTCCCCTGACCAAAAATCTGGGGCCTGCTAAGCTGGGTGCTCTGGGCTAAGCCAAGTTCTCTGACCTCTAAGAGAGCTTGCCTTCTGCCCCAGTCCTGGGGCGGCGGGGGTGGGGTGTGGGGGGGTGGGGGGGCGGGGCAGTGCTGTAGAAAGAAAGAGAATGTAGAACGTGAGTCACTCTGTCCACACCAGAAGACAAGAGGCCTGAGCAGCCTCCAGGCCATAAAGGCCTCCCTGGTGTCCCCTCCCTCCAGAGAGAATAACTTTTTTATTTTTTAAAGATTTTATTCTAATACTGCAAATCAAAACAAAAGATCAACTCGAAC